CCCTCCCTCCCCCCGCCCCTCCAGCAGCTCTGGGATCAGGTTACAGCCAGGTCCAGGTGTCACTGAAAATTAATTTTCTTCAGAGGGAATGGAATGAACCCCAGCACGTTTTAACCTTTTGCTTTATCACAGAGCAGAACTCAGCCAAGAGGAGACAAATCTCCCATAGTCCATGCTCTGGTGCTCCAGAAGATTGGTGCCTGATAGGACATTCCTCTAATTTAGATGAGATTAGTTCCCTCCAATTTTCTCTATTTCTGCTCACATGCTTTTACCCCTCACAAACATTAAATTTACATAACCATGCGGACATTGACGTCAGCATCAATTCTCACTCTGGGGTTTCCTCAGGGCCATTTGGGTACAAAACACCCCCAAGAGCTGCAGCAGTGGCTTTGAAAAAAAAAGGAAAAAAAGATGCTGTGACTTCTTCCCTTTCCAGTTCTTTTGCTGTGGACTGCACACAGATTTGTGGTTGGGCTCCAAATCCATTTTAGGGCTGGCAAAGTTGGGATGCTGGCACGCTTGGACACGCTCCGGGGTGAAAAGTTGCATTTTCAGCTGATAAAAAAAGGATAATAAACGCAGTGTAAGACCTGGAACACAGAGAAAAGGCAGTGAGCAGCAGGAATTATGGAATTACCCATGTGAGGAGTTTAAGCATCTCTGGTGTCTCCATCAGGTCTGAATCCAAGCTGCCCCTTCCCCAGGGGAACCAATCCTCCTCTCTTTTATCCATGATTTCCCCAAGCCACGGATCCTCCTGGCTCTTCCACTGGGATGTTGGAAGCAGAAAAAGCCTTTGACACTTTCAAAAATCCAGCACAAACCTTGAGGTCTCCTAGAAAAGGAGTCAGTGTCCGTGCAGGCTCTTTTCCCTGCTCGTGGTGCTGCAGGAGGTGCTTTGCTGTGTTCCAGGCTGTATCCAATGGACTGTTATTAGATTTTCAGTCATATTTTTAGCCACAGGATCAGCCACCAAAAGCTCAGCGTGCAAGGCTGCAAAAGGCCAGCAAAGCTACTGAGTGATTTGTTTGAATTAAATTTTCAAAATACTTCAAAATAAATATCTCTGAAATGTGTTTTTATTCAAGAAAGCCAGGCAAAACTCCTCACAGAAGGAAATCACCTTAGCCCTGGATACTCATTTTTTGTTCCAGCTTCTGCCTTTGATACAGGACATTTCTGAGGGCACATTATCTATGGCAGAGTAGCAAAGGTCACAGCTAAAAACCTTCCCCTCGCTCTCTGACACAAAGGAAATCGTTTGCAGATGTTAATAGGGCATATCCAGAATCCCCGAGTCCCTTTGGATTTTTCCTGCACTTTATTTGTGTTCCAAAGGCCTCATGGAGCATGTGATTTATGTGTGCACGTGCAAATTATAAACCCTGTGCTCACATCAGGTGCGCTGCCTTGCAAGGCTTCACCACCACAATAAAGCTGATTTTTCAGGGCTAACTCCCCGTCATGTCCTGTAATATACCTGCAGAAAGATGTTTATCCCTAGGAAAAATTAAATTCCAGGTTAAAAGTGGAGAGCAATGAATGGCCACAAACACTTGTGGAGATGCACAAATCTCGAGGTGAACTTTTGGAACCGATTTTTTCTGTCAAAGGGGCTGACTGGAGCTTCCTGAGGATGTGTAAGGCTTCAGAATGTATAAATATTCTCATGCCTATATGCTCAGTTTGTGCTCAGCAGTCTCATTAATTAGAAAGACAGGCTTAGATAACAATTGCTTCTAAGTTGTTTTGTCTTTTGCACTAAAAATAGAAAGTTTCACAAAGCCAGCTAAAAATAGGATGAGGCCAACACAAGCCAAACCTAAAAATAAATCCCATGCAAGCCCAGCTTTTGGCATTTTTGGGAAAGGACAGCAGATTTTGGGGATGGGTTTGAGAACCGAGGACAGCAGAGCTCTGGCACTGAGGGCATCCCGGGCTCTGGGATGGGCAGCACTGGGAGCACTGGGAGCACTGGGAATGGTCAGGCAGGATGTGGCTGAAAGGGAAAGAGGCTAAAGGGACAAAGAGAGGACCCAGGTGAAAGAGAGAAGGGATTTAAATTCAAAATCAACACAGGACAGTCCTGCTGTCCCGGGCTAAAAGGTCATTCACACTCCCAGGGACTCAATATCGTTAAGAAAACCAGCTAATAAATAATAAAAAAATAAAATTATTATTCATAAAATGATTATGTATAAAATTATTGTTTATAAAATAATAATATAAAGTGAATAAACCACAGTCACTTTGTCAGAAGCAGGAATTGAGCCCTGCTTTAGTGACTGCACACCAACAGAAATGGCATTTCCATCAGTCTGTCCCTCTCACCCCCAGCTCAGCAGGCAGCTCCAAGCAGGGCAGCAAGCAGTGCACCAGCTGGACAAAGCAGATTTTGGAAATTTTATGGAATTCAGACAATCTAAGCATGATCCAAAGAGCTGAAGGGTCTTTTCCTAGATCACACAATAGCACCTTGGCAGGGCTGCTCCCAGCCTGGCCCCCAGCCAGCAGCACCTCCTGGGGAAGTGGACAGGAGAGGGAGTTCTCAACTGCAGGAATATTTTATTTCTTTCTGCCTCGAGCTTCCAAATGAGGCTTGATAGCTAAAACAATTGAAAACGTTTGCAATAAAATGAAAACAATACGTAATTGCATTGTTTTTTCGGCTGATCCCCGTGCCAAGAAGCAGCTTTGGGCAGGAAACCAGTTGTAAATTCGAGGAGGAAGAGAGAAGTGGGACTGCTCACGTGCCAAGAGAGGCTCCCTAAATTTAACTGTCCTGAACTCTGTGGAGGAAGAGCCAGCCCTGTCCAGCCCTACACTAAATTAAACCAAATAAAGTCAATGTAACACCTGTGGGATGGTACAGAATCTTAAATCAAAGATAAATCCATAATAAAATGTAAGATAAAGATATAATTGATAAAACAGAGAGTCCAGGTATGCATATCCATACCTGTATCTATACATCTATGTATCTCTATATCTATATATCAATATTTAGATATCTTTATCTATATTTATATATATATATATCACAGCAATGATTTCAGCACCTCAGCTAGAAAAACAAACAAACAAAAACCCCTAAAACACTGAAAACCCCACTTTGCTGCTGTTTTTCCAGCAATAAGATAAGCTACAGGAAAGAGAACGTGGGAGCAGAGGCTTGATTGAAAGAGCAGTGCAGGGTGGGCTCTGGGGGGTTCCCAAAAAGGGGGTTCAGGGGGAGATTTTGGGGAGATTTTGGGAAGGTGAAGGGCACCGTTGTCCAGAGATGGGACCGAAGGTGAATGAAGCCAGGACAGGAATTTCAGATGAAGAGGGAACTATTTGAATGCTGTAAACACCAGGGAGGGAAAAGAATTGTTTAGGGTGGTTCTGTGATATTTCTAGGAGTGATGGGATGCAGATAAGGAAGTGGAAAATGTAAGCTATTAAATAGGAAACATTTCCTGGCAGGGTGGACTAATGGACTGTGGAAAAGTCTTCTAAGGGAAGTGGCAGGAGCCGCTCAGACAATTAAAAGTGGTCTGGACAACGTGCCTGAGGGCATAATCATGCCTAAAACCATGGAGAAGTGCCTGGATGTGACAAGGATCTTCCCTTCTTGCTTTGGAAAGAAAGCCCCAAAGCTCCGGGGAAGAAAGGCCCATTGTAATGCAAGGCTCCTATAGGCAGGGAGCCTCACATCCCACTCAGATAAAATCCAAATGCAAATTTTCCTCCCCAGGGACGGCTCCTCCTGAGCAGCACCCACACAAAGGATCCTGTTCAACGATGTTCCATTGCTGCCAATCAAAGAAATCCCAAAAAAACCCAACTGAAAACTCCTAATTCACCATAAACATGAACTCACTGTTTGCTCAAGCTTCCTGTAATGTTTAATTAGCTCATTCTTTAAGGTTTAACAGCTTCAAGGACATTTTCCTCAGGAAATGCTGAATTTATGTGCTGTTCTACATCACTGGTACCAAATGTGATAAAGACTTCGTGGAAAACACAATCCTTATTCAGAGACACCAGGAACTTGGTGGAAAGATGCAAAAATCAGATACTAATTATTAAACACTCCAGAGTGCTGGATGTGAGGCAGCTGTAGCCACTGAGGGCCGGGATTTCAAAATTAAACTTCATTTTATTTAACTTTTTCTCCCCATCATTTTGATGCCCAGGCTGGAAGGTTTATGGTGTGCTCAAGAGTCAGTTTACTCAGACGTGATTGAGACCCACAAGTTTATTTGAGACAACTTGCCAGACACCTGTCCAGGTGGTAAAAACCACCTGATTTCTTTGTTTGAGGAGGGTGGGACGTGGATTTGCCACGGAAAGGCTCCATAACCCCTTTCCATTCCCCCTCTGGCACACAGATCCAGCATCAGCACACTCTGGGGTTAATTCCCCTTCCCTCTGTGGCTCTGTTTGATTTTTGTGGTTCCAGAAAAACCACAAAAAGAAGCTTAGAAGCTCCACAGCCTTGGAGCTGCTGCCCTGACTCCCAGCTGTGGCTCGGATCGCCTGGAAAATGGGATTTGCATTGGAGAAATGCTTTGGTTGCTTGTGAGACCTCCTGGAACTGCCCAGCCTGGAGCTCTCACCCACCACCTTCCCCCTCTGCTTCCCATCCCAAAGACTTCAGGAGCCAATCCGGGTTATTCCTGCTGGCCACCAGTTCTTTCACTCCTGAAGGTTCCTTCGTGTGTAAATTGCCCAGAAACTCCCAATCCCAGGCTGCTGGGATGGGTAAAGGTTGCCACTGAGCCCTGAGCAGCTGCCAAAAACACACCTGGAGTCTTCCATCCGTGCAAAAAACACACGGGGAGCACTCCCAGGCATGTGGAAATCAGCTCAGCCCGGCATTCTCCAGGCATTTATTGATTAAAATATGGATTTAGGCACTCGCTGCCATTCCGTGCTTGGAACTCGTGTTGTTTCCCAGTGGGGATGAGGAAAAGCTCGGTGCCACTGTCCTGGAAGGAAAAAAAAAATACAACAATCAGTGCTGGCAAGTGAAATTCTGTGGCAAAAGGATAAAAGCTGGTCAAACCCAATTTTTGGATAACAACATAGAAATCCCCCCAGAAAAGCAAAGTTTGTTTTTCTTCTCAGTCTTGCTAAACTACAAAGCGAGGCAACATTTTCTGTAGTTTTCAGCAGAAATTTTGTTCTTGTGAAAGAAAAAACCAAACTGTCATTTTTTAAAGGTTGTATTAATTGCCACAAGGTCTCCCTCTGTGTCACAGCTGCTCAAGTTTTGTAACAATTCTCTGTTTAGAACTTCTAAATCCTTAATAGATGGATGTATTGTTATGCCACTGATATCACCATCAAGGTGTTAAAAGCCTTCCAGGAGGTGTGTTATAAATTACAAATTAAGGCAGTTACCAGTCAAGTGACAGGGCTCCTCCATAATTATCCTTAAAATTGATTAGCCATTTATTAAAATGTCTATAATTTACTAATCACAAGCAAACAGAAGGTGTGGTATTAATCATCATTATAAGAAGGTTTGAATTGTTATGGATTGAAGTTAAATAGTCAAAGAGATTTATCCCTGCCAAAGTCAATTTAAAGTTTAGAATAAATAAAGAGCCACTGAAGCAACTGGGGATAAACAAAACAGCCTCTACTTTCCTAAGTAGACAAACACATAAAGCTAAATCAGCTCTTGTCCTCTGAATTTTGTATTTCTCTTGACAATGAAAAAGTGGAATTCAGATGTTCTGCCGTGGGATTGGTCCCAGCTGAGCTAGAGCAGGTCCTGCAGGAAGTGAGATCCTTCACTTCTCAGAATTCCTCACCAAGTAACCTTCAAAGGAGTTCCTGGAACAGCCTGAGATAAGTCCTCTTGCATAAGTGAATTTACAAGTCTGTGAAAGGCTGGCAAGTGCAGAGCTGATAAAAGGAAATTTACTTTAACACTGCGTATATTCAAATGCGCAATGTATATTCCAACTTTTGCCTCAAGAAGTTGAGGAAGCCAAGGTTTGAAAATCAAATTCTTTGGGACTGCATCCCATCCAGAATTCTGATGATCCAGAGTCCTAAAGATTCCTGCCAGCACTGGTTCTGGGGGAGAATTAATGTCTATAAAATGGTTTATGAGAGATCAGGAGGAGATCTAGAGAGGGCAGGGCTGCCAATCCATTTCCCTGCTGCTTTTTGGGGGCAGAATTTGTACAGATTTTCATTCACCTGCTTTATTTATTGTTTTTTAGTGGGTCACTGGTGCTATCGGTCCCAGAAGTGTGAGCAGCCACAGTGTGAAGGTACTGCCAAGAAATTTGTTTTTCCAGTCACTTTGGTGACTCTTCTGCTTTGCAAAGGGGCTTCTGAGAGAAATAATGCAAAAAAAAATCACAGAACTCAGCCTTTAAAGCATCGTGGTCACATTATTTGTGAGCAGGGTACTCTGAAGTCCTTGGTGTTTGTGGTAACTGCTCATTTCATGTCAACCAAGGATAATGCAGAAATGCATAAATAAATGTAAAAATGTAAATGTACAAATGTAAAAACCACCCCAGAAGTTGGGGTGATGTCTCAAATGCCCCAGTTTGGTTGGGTGGTTTGGCTTTCTCAAGGATTTGTTGTCTAGAGGGAAAAAAACCAAAATAAAACATTTTCTTCATCCATGCCCAGATCCTCTCCGGTGGCATCTGATAAACAAGGAGTGCAAAGGGGACAAACAGTCCCCTGTCAACATTGTCACCCGAAATGTGGTTCATGACAAGAGGCTCAAGCCCCTGACTTTTGAAGGGTATGATGTGAAGGGCTCTGCCAAGTGGAAAGTGGAAAACAATGGCCACACAGGCAAGTACTGCCCAGCCTGCTCCTGCTCCTGGGGGATGGGTTTGGCCTTTCCCTGGGGCACAGATGAGATCCCTCTGGGCCACAAGTGAAACTCCCAGAACGTTTTTGGCGTCAAAATTTTCTTGGGAAGTTTGCGGGAATTGCGAAGTTTTGGGGTTGGTGGAGGTGGTTCTTGAACACCTCAGCAGGAATTTATGTGCAGAAACAGAGCTGGAGGTGTCACAGGAGCTCGAAACCAAAACCCCCCAACCCAAACAGAGGCCAGGACTGGGGGCAGGTGGGCAGGACAACAATTTGGGCAGAATTTCATCATTTTCTGCTGAAACCACTTCATTCCTGGGCTGCTCCTTTCCAACTGTTGCCTCTGCACAAAGAATCCTGCTGGAGAAAAGCCTCGTGTGGGAAAGTCATTCACAGTGCTGTGTGTTATTAGTTCTTTAAATAATGAGCTATATTCTTCTCAGATTCAGGCCTGTTTTCTCAGCACACAGAAGTTATCTGATGTTGATCAGCTACTTAGTGAATCAGTAAACCGTGAATCAATTAACAGTAATTTCAAACTGTTCCACTTCCTCCCCTTTCCTTCACAATACTGAGGATGCTGCTCCAAAAAATTTATGTTCAATTACTTTGACTTTAAAAATAAACCTGTGGTCTAATTTTATTTATTTATTATTTTAAAGTTACATGTAGGTATTCTTAAAATCCTGGATGGGTTGTTCTGACTGCCAAATCCTCGAAGCAAGTGGCAAATATTTCCTGATTTAAAAGGGAAAGGTGGGAAGGCAGCTGGGGAGATTTTTACAGCCAATTTCAATTTCCAGCTAATTTCAAATATTGCTATCATGACAGACCACAAGAAAAAGGAATGTATTTTCACTAATATATGGACTGATGACTTTCCCATTACAGGGTGATACTCCAGGATGCCCAATTACAGTCACTTTTACATCAAAATTAATATTTATAAGGATTGCTCTGAACTCTCATCTTCCCCAGCTGTGCATGAGGATTAGGAGTTTAATCCGGGCTTTTAAAATCTCTTCCTTCTGAGGGCAACCAACTACTGTGCTAAATGAGGAGGTTGTTGATGAAATTAGCTGCAATTAGAGGCTGCAGGTGAGATTAGACCCTCCTGGTTATGTTCTGTGATGGGCACATAGCAAAGGTCGCTGTCTCAAAGGTCTTAAACTAAATAAACAAAGCCCACAAAGACATCTGACTCATCCATTTACAGATTAAAAAGCAAAGGAACTAAATGACTCATGCACTCTCCAAGTTCATTTGGAATTCAGAACAAAAATGAAATCTCTGGGGCTGCAATCCAGAATTTTCCTCTGGGGCTGCAATCCAGATTTTTCCTATGCAAAGAAAAGTGCTGTGCTTAACGTGGGGGTCGTAAAAAGTAAAATTTTAAAATACATCTCAAATATGTATGATTTAGGCTTCAATTGCAGCACTTATCCAAATTAAAATAGAATATCTTTAAACTCTGCCCAAAGGAAATGTTACACTGCAGACAACAGGAGATTAAAATGATGGTTAAAACTCAAATAAACTGGAATCAAATTTACTTTGATAGAGGGTTTTTTTTAGAAAAAAAATGAAGGAATATAGGGTCTTCTGAGAGGTGTAAGAAGCTCTGACTCTAGAAGTCACAATGGTTATAATTAATCTCAAATTAAACTCAGCTATGATTTTGTAAGAGTTCAGTTTTTGCAGAGCGGAATTTCTGGAACACTCGGTCTGAAAAGCCAAGTGAGAACTTGAAGTTAAATTTGAATCTCAAGAACATCTCTGCTCTCACATACTGTTAATGTAGGATCTGCTCTTCTCCTTTGGAACCATTTCTGTTTTTTTCTCCAGTTAAAGTGACACTAGATGCATCCCCTAAAGTCGCAGGAGGAGGCCTGGGGAGAAAATACAAGGCAATAGAATTCCATTTGCACTGGGGAGTCCCAGTTGAGCCACAAAGCATCCCTGGCTCAGAGCACAGCATAGACGGAGAGAAATACCCCATGGAGGTAGGTGCCATCGTGGATTTCACTCCAGAGCGCTGGAATTTTGAGATCCTGCTCACAAAAACTCTCAGCTAGTTCCCCACAGGAGGTCTGAGGGTGGAAATAATTGCCCTTGGCTGTTGTGTTCCAGCTTCACATCGTCCACATAAGAGACGATGTTCCAGATGTGACAGAAGCCAAGAAAACTACAGATGGAATTGCTGTGTTGGCCTTCTTTGTAAAGGTAGGCACTGAAATGTTCAATGCCCCTCTCAAATCTCAGCCAGCACTTTGGCTGAGGGATTGTTTATGTCAATATTTTATGTTTGTGTCAATGTTACAGTAGCCCAGGACTTTAACTTCCCTGTCTTCTGAGGGCATTCTGCCAGCACTGAGTTTCTCTACCCTTTTCTACATCCTGCTTGCTGTGATTTTTTCTTGTGGCCCTTTTCTATTTTTTTCACTACTGATAAAAAGCAACTGCCTGTAGAGACATACACAACGTGGAATGAAAATATTTCCCTTTCAGGCTGACAATGAAAATAAAAACTACGCAACTCTATTGAGTGAATTAGAGAATATTAAATACAAAGGTAAGACACTCGTGCCAGGGGTTTCACAAGCTGTGTGGGGTGAGGATAAACATGGGCAAAACCTGCAGCCACGAGCATTACAAGGGATTTTCCCCTGTGTTTTTTCCAGGGCAAGAATCAAAGGTGGATCCTTTGCCACTGAGTTCTCTTCTCCCACCTGAGGAAGACCTTGGGAGGTATTATCGCTACGAGGGGTCCCTCACCAGCCCTGACTGCTACGAGGGTGTCACCTGGACGATATTTGAGAAGCCAGTTGAGCTCAGCCTGTCCCAGGTGAGTGCAGAGGGACAGCTGGGAGGTTCTGTGCCGTGTGTCCCGGGCTGCCCGCAGGGTGACACCTCCCTGCCTTGCTCCCCACACACACACATACACACACTTGGCTGCAGCCTAAACCTGCTCCAGCGCCAGCTGATTGACCCCATTAAATCATCCCTCAGAAAATGGCAGGAAAGGGGCAGGAAGGGGAAATGACGGTGTGAGGAGAAAGCCAAGAAACCCCCCAAGCCCAGCTTCGTCAGCAGCGCTTCCACTGCTGCCACCTGCTCCTCCCCAGCTTCACGGCTCTTCTCCCTTTGCCAGGACAGCACACATCCATTCCAAACCCACCCTGGGCCCATCAGCATCAGCGTTAAGGAGCCCATTCCTGACCTGCAGGCAGGAAGAGGAGGTGGAATCAGGAGCTCTGGGAAAGCACAGGTCGTGCAGAGATCTCACGGCTCGGCCCAGAGCCAGAGCCTGGATTTCAGCTCTGAGCTCCCAGTGTGCTCTGGTGTTCTCCCAGTGCCCCCAGCTCAGGCCAGTGTCACAGAGCAGCCAGGAACCTGAACAAGGACAGAATTCCTGGAGCTCCTGCCCTGTGTGTCACAGAGCAGCCAGGAACCCAACAAGGACAGAATTCCTGGAGCTCCTGCCCCGTGTCACCGTGACGTGGTGTCCGGGCCCAGGGCCGTGTGCGTCAGGAGCTCTGGGGGAGCCGGTCCTTGGGCTGCACAAAGCATTTGGCTCCCACACAAAGGAAGTGCCCGTGATTTCCAAGGCTGGAAGGAGCCATCTCATGGTGACCTCTCCAGTGGCCTCTGCCACGGTGCTTCCTGTGAGGTTCCGCGTTCGTTAAACCCTCAGGTTCAAAACCAGAGCGGGGCAGAGCGGGTTTGCAGCACAACAGCCCCCAGAGCCCTCTGGCAAAAAGATTTAACCCCCTGTTGTGTTTTGCAGCTTTCCCAGTTCACAGTGCTGCACTTTGATGGGAACAACTCCACTCGCATGATGGAGAATTTCCGGCCAGTGCAGCCCCTGAACGAGCGCAAGGTGCTCTGGTCGGGCGCCAGCATCGCCCTGCCCACGGCAAAGCTGCTGCTGCTGCCCCTGGCTCTGACCTGCACCCTCAGCTCTCTGTCCCCCTGAGCCTCCCCCACCACATTCAACATCCTGGCCCCTTATTTCTTGTTACTTTTGCTGTTCTTTGTCTCAGCCTCTCATGAATTGCGTCCCAATGCAGAATAGCCTTGTCCTCCTCCAGACATTAACCAAGGACTTCTGTGCTGCTCTGGTGAAGCCCAAACCACCAGAACCCAAAGGAACTGGGAGATAAAGCGATGGAAATTAAATTTTAAAAGCCAATGCACTTAGAGAAAGTGTTAGTCTGGATTATTTTGTAGCTTTAAGCCAGCACTGGAAGGAGCTGCACAGCGAACCTTGGAGAGGAATCTGTTCTTAAGTGCCTGTGAAGGGGCTGTTTTGGAGCATGTTTACATTCAACACTGCAAAGCTGGCAGTGAAGTTGGAGTAATTCCTACAATCCCACACTGTCCTACCCAAAGGTACAACACAGAGCAAAGATAAAACGCTCACACACAACCCAGCAGCATCTTGCTCATCCCCTCCAGGGAAGGGCACTCACCCAACACATAAATCCCCCTCCTTCCTTCAGAATATCTCAGTTAATTTCAGATAAGGATACTGGATTCCTTCCAGCCCATCCCTGCTGGGGGCTAGCAGGTTCCTCTGTTATTTATTCATCCTTCTCTGGGATGCCATGGTCAATGTGATGTGCTGGGAAGCAACAGGGAGCCTCATCCCCACAGACCACAGGCACATCTGTGGAAATTCCCTCTCTTTGGAGGGCTGCTTTTGAAGCAGGAGACTCTGATGATCCTTTGTAGTTATTATTTGCCTAATAAAATAGGACAGCTCAAGAAATGGCGCTTTCTTATATATAAATATATATATATATTCCTTTTATATAAATAATTTTTTTATAGTAGCGTACCTGCAATATTCACATACAGGCAAGATTCATAGTTTTTTCCAAGAAGATTGTGGTTTGAACCTTCAGATCTCACCCAATTACTTATAGAAAACACCTTGGGAAATGGGGTTTCCTTATATTATTCCAGTTCTCTCTCTGAAGAGGGACATAACATTTCTCTTTGGCTAATGCCGCGTCACACGTTACAGCTTCTTTTAGGATCTGAGATTTTGGCCACACCAAAATAGGATTTCATATTAGCAGATATGTATTTTTTTCCTTTTAAGTGCAATGTTTGCAGAGATGACTTTATATATTTTCAGGAAAATCCTGGTGGTGAGGGCAACCACAGCTCACCAAAGGAGAGGTGAAATTATTTTCATATTAATCAATCAGTAAAGCTTTATAAAAACCCCCACATGGGAAAACAAATAAACCTATTTAAGTTTAAAGGAAAGATTAATACTTTAACTGTATTTTTATGTAACTGAAAATCTTTGGAGGAGCAAACAGAAATGAAATATTAAAGGTGAACAACAGAATATTTGAATTGTTCTGAGTTTTCATTTATTTTGTCCTTGCTGAAGGGGAATCCACAAACTCTTTCAGAAGAGGAATGTGACTTCCCCCCCACACCCCGTTTTGTTCACAATATTTAGGGTTGGGTTTAAGGCTGGGCTTGCATTTTTGGGGCAGGGGGCAGGGATTTGCAGTATCTTGGGATGTTTCTACTGTCAGCAGAGTTCTGGGGCTCTATTTCACACCCTCGGGGTGTTCTCTGCACTCAGCAGATTCCTGGAGTCTGGCACCTTGCCCAGGTGTGCAGAATTGGTGCCCAACCCCAGCCAGCTCCCAGGACAGGGAACTCCTGTTTTAAAAGCAGCAATGGGAACACTCCTTGGGATACCTGAGAAATGCCCTTTGCACTGACCAAGGTGGGCAAGGGTCACCATCCCTCTCCTTCAGATTATTTCCTCAATTCTCATTTCACAGGCAGCTCTCTAAGGGAGGAGTGGAATAAAACCTGCAGAATCTGGCTCAGCTGTCATTTATTGCTAATAATAAATGATAAATCACAGGGCACAGCCACTAATTACAATGTGGGAGCATCTTATTTACTATGAAACAGATTAAAAGAGAACTAAAAGGAAGAAAAAAATCTGCTGGGAAGAGGATAAGTCTTATCTAAGAGCTCTTCAGCACCAATCCCAGTGTGAATAAAACCTCCCTGGACAAGGATCAGTGTTTTTACTGAGTGGCTCTGTGCTGTGGCAATAAGGAAAAGGGAAATGCTCCAGCTGCTCCTGTCACAGGGACTGGGACCACTCTATGGTCAAAGCCCCTCTCTGCACCCAGATTCTGCTCTGGGGCAGGGGGTGACAAGGACAGGACCAGCATCAATGCAGGGAATAAACAAAAACCCCCAGCAAAAGCTGTTCCCAGGAAAAAGCAGGAAAAGACAAGAAGGCTTTGAGTGGGACATCTGATTTGCTTTGTGAGGATGGTTATGGAAAAGCAATTTGCTGTTCCACAGGTAACTTGAGGTGCTGGTTTTCAGGAATTTTGTCTCGGCGATGTTTGGCATGAAATTCTTTTATTGTGAAGACACCAGGAAATGACAGTCAGTCCTGAAGGACAAATAGCCAAGGCATGATACAGGAAAGGGTGGGGGGAGGAACAGAAGCATTTGGAAGGATCCAGCAAGAACATTATTTTCCCATGTCCAGAAGGGCTAGCACAGAACTGCACTGATACATTTCACATATGTTGGAGCCAGAGCTGACGACTGGGGGGTTGAAAGCTGCAGTCCCAGGGAAAATGAAACAACACTGGCAATTAAAATTTGGGTTAAAACAAATAAATGGGTTTGTACAACCCATCCAAAAGCAATCCTTTCCCAGCTTTGGGCTGCATCTTGGCTGGAGAGCAGCCTCCAGAGGTGTGAGAGGTGAAGGCACTGCTCCTTCCCAGTCATCAGGGGAGCAGAGTGTGACAGCAGGGGCAGGCACAAAAAAATTCCTAATACAATGTGTTTTCAGCAAAATATTTTTCTCAGGAAGCACAAAGAGACAAGGAAACCAAACCATTACTCACAAGAAATGTATTTACATTACCCACAAAGAATTCTGACGAATTTGGCAACTCCACTTACTGTCAGCTCCTCCTGTGACAAAACACTAGCTCAAAATGCACTGGACAAAATTAGTTTTCTGTGACTGTTGGGAGAGAAGGATAAAGGTTTTTCCTTTGTCCTTTACTTCCTCTCCCATCCAGATGCGGATTCCACAAGGAAAAGAGCATTTGCCAGTACCCTCCCCACTAAAAATGTGTCACACAGCAAATCCATGTAAAAAATCCATTCATCTACCTGTAGTAAAAAAAAAAAAAAAAAAAAGTGATACAGAGAAGCCTATCAAACTTCCCAGGTTTGTTTTAGAGTTTAATAAGTGTGGAGTTTAATAAATACCAGGTGTAACACCAACCCCCTCTGCTCCAGGGATGGGGATCCCATTGCCCAGGAGCAACACCCCAAAAATCACAGCTGGACTCAGTTATCTTAAAGGTTTCTTCCAACCTAAGTGGTTTTGTTATTCTACAAATGATTCTATGAGAAATGATTACTCTTGGAGATGGAAGGCTCATTTTTATAGAGTTAAAAGTGGACTTGGTGATTTTCTTCCACAAAGCACTGAATGAGATGGGATTTAAAAACTCTGCAATGACAGAAAAACAACCTGGGAACTGAAGTGGCTGTGGGAAATGCTTTCTTTGTGTGGGAGAATATCATATGCAAATTGGATTTTTAAAGGAAGGAAATGTAGGATTTACTGGTAAATTATGTGTACCTGTGGAAAAGGCAATGAAACCCCAGCTGGAGGCACAGCAGGGCCACAGTGACCTCAGCCAGGATGCTTTTCCTTACTGATCTCCTCCAAATTCCTCCTGAACAGACACAGCTCCTTCAAGACAACTGCTGAGAATGGGAACATGCAGTTTCCATTATGAGGTTTAAATGCATTTCCTAAAAATAACCTGCTGTTTGGGGTTTTTAGTATCAGAAATAAATCCATATACACCGCTAAAACCTGATTATAATTAGTCACACAAGTAAAATTATGAGTGTAATTAACTACAGCGATTAATTGAAATGCCTTTGGCACATTATTTCCCTTCTTGCAGTTGAATGCAAATCGCATTTGAAGTTATATCATAAAGGGTATAAGATGGTAATCAATTGAGGTTATTTTATTACCTTTTCTACCTGTTAATATCTTCTGAAGTGATTTACACATCCAGTAACTCAAACAGTTTGATGTAAAAGACACCCAAACAGCTGACACTGTTTTAATGAGTTTTGTTTTCCAACAACCCACTCCAAGCCATCTAAACTTTTCCCTGCTTTTCCTTTTTATTGCCTCACAAAACCACATTGGTTTCCATGGAGTGGAATCACCTTTAGAACGCCACCACCCTTCCCCTCCCCACCTCAGCGGGGCTGCTCCTTGTTCCCAGCACAGAGATCTTGATGGATAAGTTTGCAGATTGGGGGTTGTTATGAAGAATTTATGAGAGAGAAAGAAAGGCAGAGAAGTTTTACATTTTGTTGACTGTGCTGATGTTGAGATTAAACTCTAAATAAATCATAGACAATCCCTATCAAGAGTGCAGTATCTTTGTAAGCTTACAATCATTGGGGTTTGTGGTACACGAAGCTCTCAGCTTTACACAAAACGCTTTTCTTACAGGCAGTAAAACATAATGGTTCATGTCCTGGAGCCCAGCAGCCACTGGGAAATGTAAGAATAATCCTGGTAGAGCAGCAGTGACCTCGCTGAGGAAAACAAAAGGAGTTTAAATCTTAAAAGAACAGGA